TTCCATAGACATTCATGCTAGACTAGATAAATCTGGATCTTGTCCAGCAAACTTTTTATACATATGTGAAAGTGTTATATTATAATCTTGAGACTTTGTTTTAAAAAGCTCTTTGCTTAAGATTTTCTTTCATTATTTATGCACGATAGCAGTCAAGGACTTGACAGATCAGGGGGAAAATTGCATGAGGCATGTCAAAAAAATTCAAGAATGGCTTGCATCATTTCCAGGATTATGGAGACGATAAAAGCAGCCCAACTGTTGCTCTGCACGTAGTATAGTTACACTTTGGCAGATGACTAAATTGAAAAGCATTACAGTAGAAATGTCTCCAATTCAACATATATTCAGTTAGATCCATGGCTGATAGTATTGGAAGGGATCCTGCTGCATGTTATTTCATTTATTTGATCATTGATTCTCTTTAGTCTTTTGTTAACTTTAACCTTCATATTACTAATTATATATTTCTTTATAAAGTTGGTAGTTTATTTGATGCATTTTAAAACAACCAAAATTTATATAGCCACCCATATCATAAAACATATGGCTCTGGCTGGCATGCAATAAAATTAAAACAATTAAGAAATACCTAAAAGAATTATCATCATCACAATCATTATTTTTTAAATTAAAACTAAAAAAAACAAAGCTAAAACCAGAAACAATAAATGAAGGGATGTTAATAATAGTAATGGAGCCACCACACTAGTTTGTCATTCCCCAGTGGTCCCCAGACCTGCTGGCATAATCAAGTCCCGAAGGATTTTCAGAAGTAATAAATAGGAAGGATCCTTCAGATGTAATAGACTGTGAGGCAATGTCATCTGATAAGGCCTAGTAAGCAGACTTTTTAGGTCATGGTACATCTATCATAAAGATCTACTTCTTCCCCCAGATATTATAAGGACTTACTTTTTCCTCAGATTTTGAGGCCAGGCTGTTAATTTGGGAAATGTTGTGATTTATCTTTAAATGAGAAGGTCAACCTGAATTTTTGTTCTTAATGTTTTTTATTTTATAAAAATAAAGATGTGTTTATTCTATGTTCATTGCTTCATTGGATAAATGAGCAGCCTTATAAATCTGAAGGATCATCATCGTCATCATCTCTTCTGGATATTTCTAAGCCATGAATAAGGATGGAGTTGGATTCTGCCACTCAATTTTTTTTTAAAAAAAAAAACAGTCCTTGGGGTGTGCCAAAGCTTGAGTATATGTAAAGCAGCTTTTGGAATTCTGTCTAATGTATGAGAAATGACAGGAACTTTTAGAATGATGAATATTTAGAATTATAGTTTGGGGAGTAATAAATCAATCCCTCATTCCATTTATTCTGCTCACCAGGTTTCTGTAACAGTATATTGGTAGCAGCTGCTCCTCCTACCCCTGTTGACTCATAATGGGGAAAAAAACCAATGAACAAACCTGTTTCTTCAAAGCTGAAGTTGTCAAACTTACTAAGTGTAATAATTGGGAACTTCTTTAGTGAAATAAGGTCTGTTGTGGTATAAACACTTTTTAAGACATATGAACACCTGCAAAATCTTGAAATTATTTGGTCTGGGATTTCAGTTATTTCTACAGCCTAAACTTTAAATAATTGAAAACAGAGATGGCTCCATCAGTTAGGGACATATGAAAGATTGTCATATTAACCACTTTTGAACTATAGCTTAGGTATTATAATGGGAGAAAAAAGAAACAAAATGGGATGTTGAACTAGAAATGTACATCTGTGAAAGTGCTGGAAAAAGATATATTTCATAGCCTCAAACTAAAAATGTTTCCAATAATATTCTCATTTAGAATTGTCTCTTCCAACAAAAACATGGTACAGTACTTGCATTAGAACATGGACAGGCAACTCAGATTTTTTTCAAGAGTTGTAACTCCTTCCTTCCTTTTCTCCCTGGGCAGTAGAAAGTTATTGAGGAAATAGGGTTGGCATTTGCAGTCACATTTGCTAAAAATAATTCTGGAAAGCTATTTTGAGTATTCGTTTGTAAATAAGCAACAAAATTCTATATGCTTCCATAGAAGTTCAGTTTTAGCCCTGGAGACCACAAAATGTGGGAGGTGGGAAACATTATGCAGCACATGGGATAGGAGTTGACTTCTCCTGCCAATAATAGAAATTAGCAAAATTTCTCTGCCATTAACAATGAAACAGATTTGCAAGTTAATTCTTCAAAATTATATATACGAAGTCTGATATTACTAAAATAATAGGTACAATCGCAAGTAGTTATATATATTTTTTCGTTAAAAGTTGTGCTGAGCTTCGTTTATTGTTTATGCGTCAGCACTACTTATTTAAAAAATATACCATCCAGGTCTGCCTCCTCATTAATGAGCATTCAGTGATTCTAGCATGACTGAGACAGGCATCTAAAAATCTATCACTAATATTTACTATTCATGAGCTGGGCTCATGGTAGATTTAAATTTGCACAAGCCACAAAAATTCAGTTCTAAAAAAAAGAAAATAGCTGCAACTCTATAAACAGAATGAATCCCTAACTGCAATACTTTAGACATAACATCAGAAAAATCTCCAAGCGATTATTATCAAGCAAATACTGAGATCTATAGTTCTATAGGAGCCATACTCTGAATTAGATCTAAAATACCTATAATTGTACTGATCTGTTCATGAAGAAATTATATTTGTGTTTTTTACACACAAACACACAAATATCACATGCCTATTTTCTCTCCTTGAACAGAAAAGAAAAACAATAATTATAATCCGCATCATATGCTGAATCATCTAAAATAATACAGTACTTGATTGTCATAGAGGCAATGAAATTCTCTGCCAATCAGGTGAGAAATTTTCAGTACTGGTATTGTATTTCCTTGAATCAGCAATCAAGTCATGGTTTTCAAGCAGCAGCTCAAGCAAAGAAAATATTAAGCAGAACAAAATGACTTTTTCTGTTTTAATTGCAATAATATGTGTACGAACAACCGCTTTAAACTCAATGTAAATTGTTCTAAACTTGACTCTAAAAAATATGATTTCTGTAATACAGTTGTCAAACTCTGGAATGGTCTACCTAATCCAGTTGTCTCAGCTACAAATTTTCACAGTTTCAGTCATAATTTGACTTCCGTAGATAGGTGCACTAACGTGCCTATTGTCCCTGTCATTGTATTTATTTTTTTTTATTCTTGTTCTCATTTTTGTTTGACGAATTCTAATAAATAAATAAATAAAAACTATGGGGTGAAGATATAATTATCTGTTGTGAGCTCAGCACTAAGTAAAGGCATTCAGTGCAGGAAGACCAATACATAAAAGCAAAATAGCCTTGAGAAAAATTTCAATGACTGCATCTTCTTGATCAGCTGATGTCTTTTCTGGACACACAACCAGAAAGTTCCATATGAAAGATTATAGGGCTACCATACCTAGTTGGAAAAAAATTGGTTGACTGCTAGATGGCAGCAAAGAAAGATGGATTTATTTTTACTTATTTATTTAATCAACTCATATGGATGCCAAACATGCGAAGTGTGACTCCAGTGGATAACTAGATTTTTGCATCCCAGATATGGTAGTCCTAGATTAACAATCCCCTTTCTTTTAACCAGGTGTAGAAAACATAAAGCAGGGACAGCATGCTCTTCCAGAATGAGCAATATTTTAACATTCATGGTTTGTGACTGTATTTGGCAATGTTTAATGAGTTAAAATATTCCTCTGCATCAGATTCACAAGAGTAGGGGAAATCTTTTTGATTTCATACTGAATTAGAAAAATGGCATATAGAATAATGACTAAATAAGTTAAAAGATGGCATGACAATCACTTCTTTGTTTTTTAATAGTGCCTTTTCTTCTTTACTGTTTGTAATTGGTGCTCAAACCACTGAGAGTGGCATAAACTACCACAAGAAAGATTTGTATTAGAAAACCAAATTCTTTGATCGGTATCTTCTTCTGAATAAGATTAAAATAAATTCTGCCAGGTTATGGAGGGTTCACTTCACATTTGATCTGGCCCAATAAAAAGTGTAGTGTAGTGAGATTGATTATAATAAATAATGTATTTATTTATTATTATTTTATTTATTATTATTAATCATATTTCTATGCCGCCCACTCTCCAAGGACTCTGGGCGGCTTACAACAATTGACAGTATACTAAATAGCATATTGCGCCCAACTATCTGGGTCCTCATTTTACCCACCTCGGAAGGATGGAAGGCTGAGTCAACCTTGAGCCGGTGAGATTTGATCCGCTGATCTGCTTAACTAGCAGCCAGCTGAAGTAGCTGCAGTACAGCACTCTAACCACTGCACCACCTTGGCTCTCTTTGGCACTTAAGTGTCCAAAGATACATGTGCATATATGATTACAGTACTGCTTACAAATTAACAAATTAACATTTCAAGGCTATGCCAGTCTTTGATTTATCAAGATTCATTTGTTTTTAAACTCTTGTTATAAAGGTGCACTTGAACAATCTACTTTATCCTCTTTTGATTTTGTACTGTGGAAAAAAAACCTCTTCCTCACCTGCTTAGCTTTTTCGAAAAGCGATCCTCAAGTTAGAGGATGCCCTAAACATCCTCTTTCAGCAAAAGACTAATAGCAAGGCTTAAATTACTATTGAATAAGCAGCAATAAAATATCTTTGAAAATAACTAGTACTTCCAGAAACCACAGGCAACAACAAGGCAGAGTTGTCCTTAATCAGCAAAGAACATTTGTGGAGCTAGCGCTGTGAGTCAGGCACAGTCTCTTTCTGTCTCCTCTGAATCTAAGGGAGGGCAGGTGGTGTGGGAAGTGTGTAGCTCAGAATATTGTGTGTGTCTGTGTTAGGTTGACATCATTGAAACCATGTGATTTTCAAAGACCAATTGCAGCAGGCTCTGGAAAGGGGAACAGTTAAATTTGTAATATTGGTTGTGTGAAACACTTCTTTGGGCCTCATAAACAACCACAGAACCACAAGTTGGGTACAGAGGCAGTCACACAACAGTGGGTCCGGGATATTGGTCAGCAGGCAGGGCGAATCATTTTGACTGCAAACCACAAGAGTTTCATAGAGTGGTAAGCATCATGAAACCACAAGTGATCTGCTATTTCTTTCTCCCTTTCTTTCTCTGACTTTTTTTTTTCTTACAAAACACTTTCAGGGTTTGTATGAGAGAAATTTATGTGCTTTGCAGACAAAAAGATGCAAAGTGCATTGACAGACAAGAAGTTGCTTATAATGGCCATTCTTGATTTTTTACTTCCTAAGGTGAAGGAAATCATATACCAGACTCTTATAAAAGAGAGAATAAGTTTTTAAAGAGGAAACCATGGCTTCAAACAGCATATTTGAGTCATTTCCTTCTTACCAGCAGTGCTTCGTTCGAGGTAAGTGTCACTCAAACTTTTAAATATATGCTTGACTCACATCTTTAAGAAAATGCATGTTTGCATTTTTCAGACGCTCTTAGTAGCGCATTTTTCCATGATTATCTTTTTGGATTTTAACACAATCTGAAATGTAAATGGTTTAACATCTTGCTGCTCCTATTGAGCAACTTTATTGGAGGATTTGTTTCAGTTGTTCAAGTTTCCAGCACAAAGTCATCACTGTCCTGTTTTGTAAATGTGGCTTTTATAAATCATAGGAACTGCATGCAACAGCAGAAGCACAAAAGCAGGAGAGGAGTGTTTAGCAGTTCTGGCAGAGACTGGGTTTGGAACAGCTGCCATTAAAATTGCCAAAATAGACTTATTTTAAGCATTGTTGATAAACACAAATATAACCCTGAGCAAAGAGTAAGACTGAGTGTCAAGCTGGTTGTATATGCTGTTTTTTTCCACTTAATGCACCGGTCCAAACTGGAAGAAGCTTACAAATACCCATTACTGTATGGGTGACCTAGAATTAAATTCCCAGAGTTACTTTTGAATTAATATAATATATCATCAGGCTAATCAGCTGTTCTCTTTTAGAAAGAAGTTTCCAGGAATGCATAGCCCAAGGAAATACTTTATGTAGTTCAGATTCATTAACAGAAGATGTAGACAAGCGTAGAGAAAGGTGCAGGACTTAAGTGAGAAATAAAAGATCTTCCCTAGATATGTTGGATTGCAATGCCCAAACTCTCAGACAACACTACTGCTGCTGTCTCTGATAGAAGGAATTGCCCAACACATCTGGATGATTACAGATTGGAGAAAACTGGCTTAAACTCTGAAGCAGAAATGCTCTGGAAATATTATTTTAGAAAACTTAGATTTTCCTCAGGAGTATATGATCAGGATTTAACTTGTCCTCCAAGCCATGTAATGAATAAGGAATGAAACAAGACTTTTTAAAAATTAATACATGCTTGCTATGTTCATGAGATGTTGGATGGAGAGAAAAAAATTCCAGAGTCCTCTATTTGTATGAGTGTCTATATGAGTAATTTATTAGTATTAATAAACATTAATACCAATAAATACCAAACATTAAAAGGAAAAATCACATTTTTCTCACAATAAGCCACCTTATTGCTGTTTCAGAATAGATTGAAAACCAGAATGAACATTTAAGAAAAGCATGCCTTTGTGCTCAATTATAAAAGTTTCAAGCAACGTTTTACTGGCATTAGCAGGGAGTTTAGTTGATTTGAATCACTATGAATCGTATGAGTCACATATTTTGAGGCAGTAGGGAATGTCTCTTAGTAAGAACAAGACAAAAATGGAGTGAGAAATCCCTAAATCTTCCCCGACTCATATCCCCTGAATTGCTAACAAGGAAAGGAAGCAATATTAGTAGAATAACAAGCATCTTCCTGTATACAGTTGGCTTTAGTTTTGGGTTTTTTTTTTCTTTTGCCTATCCAAATGTTTGTTTTTATTTTTTGTCTGCAGAAAGGGAATGGTTTATTGAGGAAATTTTATTTTTATAGAATGTAATAAAGATGAAAACTGCGCTTCTTTAGTTGACATGGCAATATAAAGTCTCCAGAGATCTAACAGTGGGGCCCATAAATGAGGAAATACATGGAAAGTGATTTTGAAAGAATATGACTAGAACTATAACTCTCTTATTAGAATTTTTTTTCAAAAAACTTAAGCCTTCTCTGCATTTTTATTATAATAAACCTAAGTATATCTCTAGTTTCTTAGTCACAGCTTTACTAGTTTTCACTTGCCAAGCAATTTGAGAGGATAAATTGGGGAAATATGCACAATGTGAAACATGAAGTATATTAGATTTGGGTTAAAAAATTAATTTCATTTTAAATAGAAGAATTAACTCATCCTGTCCTCTAATGAAGAAGCCAATTCAATCAGCTGCATATGGGGATTGAGCAGATCTTAATTCCAGAACCAGAGCTATAAATTTTATCCTATTTAGCATGTGTATCAAGGGGAAAGTTTAACTGAAGTGACATTTTCAGTAGATAATTTTGTAAATACTGTTTTTGCCTATTAATATAGAGCTTAATTACATGAGACCCGAAGACCTTTAAAAGGTTTCTCTTTCTGTGAGTCTGCTTCCTTCTTTCACTGAGCTTAAGATGATTCTAAATGAGTTGACCTGACAAATACCTAGGTTACAATGCAAGAAAAATAATCATTCCCTTGGTTAAATTGTTCTCACCCCCATTTTTCAGTAGTGTTTATACAGGCCGGTCATTAGGAATGTCCAAAATAGTTAGGTTATTTTTCCCGCCAAAATTTATTACACTTTCTTTCGTAAGTGAAATTATAGCCTAATGGATGGGAAAAAAACAAGTTGTTTTCTGTTGTAGATTTTACTTTATCAGACCATGCAGTCCTCTTGGACGGAAATCCATTATTCTTTTGCAGTGCGATACCCTCTGAAAATTTGGAAAAAAAAGAGGAGTGGGAAAACAAACATTGGTTCCACCCTCAGTGAGAACTGACAGGATCACAAAGCTTGCCATATTAATTGAATGTGGTACACCACAAAGGATATGACCCGTTTTCTATCACACCACACCAGGTTCTCCCTTATACTACTAGGTAATGAACAGATTCTGCTGAACCTTTTTTGCTCTTTTTTGGAAGCCTAGACTACTCAAAACTTTATATATATATGTATGGTATGTTAGGTAAATTTCGTTGTATGTGTATACTGTGTATACACATACAATGACAATAAAGTTTATTATTTATTAATCCCTTTATTAATGCATATGCACACATATAATTATGCATTTAGTAATTCTGTTTCAGATACTAATTCAAAGCTATACATTTTTAGAAATCTAAAGTGTAATACCTAACTTACAGTTAAAGTAATGAACAGATTCTGCTGAACCTTTTTTGCTCTTTTTTGGAAGCCTAGACTACTCAAAACTTTATATATATATGTATGGTATGTTAGGTAAATTTCGTTGTATGTGTATACTGTGTATACACATACAATGACAATAAAGTTTATTATTTATTAATCCCTTTATTAATGCATATGCACACATATAATTATGCATTTAGTAATTCTGTTTCAGATACTAATTCAAAGCTATACATTTTTAGAAATCTAAAGTGTAATACCTAACTTACAGTTAAAGTAAACTTCCATTGGGTCCAAAGAAGTTTACATATAGCCCATTCAGTATAGTTTGCAGTTTTAAAGTTTGATTGCTTCTTCCTCTTTTGATTAATGCCATTATCAGGAACTTTTTAGTTCTTTTTAGAAATAAATATTTAGATTTTTAAAAAAAAATACATCGTCATAAACCAGGAGATCCTATTATGTAGTTCTTTCTCATTAATAGAATTTATATGTGTGAAGGTTTGCAAAATTGTGACCAGATTATTTATGATCAGATAGGTATAAGTGTTTATTTTGTCTATGAACTATTCAGTAGATGTCCTGGAAGTACATGATGCAGCAGTTGTTAAATCAAGATACTGTTTTATCTTCATGATGCAAAAATGTATGGGGAACTCTATATTTGGAACTTTGAATTCAATGGAAAAGAAATTACACCATTTTTTACAGCTAGACTACATAATGACAAAGTTAGATGGAAAAACAAAAAGAGAAAACAGATAGAAATTAACTGCTGTAATTTCTTGCAAAAAAAGAAGAAGCTTTTCTCCCCAGCAGAAAGAGTACTGAAATACTATAAATACAGCACTGAAACTAAAAGTAACAGAACTAATAATTCCTTAGCAACATATCATAGTAACAACAGTTAATAAAACATCATCCTATCATTAAAGCTTCACTATGTCCTTAAAAAAGCATGTACCTAGAGATTGGTTAAAGCTGCACTTTTAGACACATTTACCTGGAAACAGACTTCAGGAATTGCTGCAGGGCTTTTAAATAAGCATTTATAGAAGATGAAGGTGTATCTATGAGATCGCCTTCTGCCACTGATAGCCTCCCACCAACCAGTTCGCTCCCACAGGGAGGGACTCCTCAGGGTGCCATCGGCCAAATTATGTTGGCTGGCGACACCCAGGGGGAGAGCTTCTCTGTGGGAGCCCCTGCCCTTTGGAACGAACTGCCCCCGGAAATACGCACAATCTCTGACCTCCGAGTTTTTCGCTGTGCCCTCAAGACCCTGCTCTTCCAACAGGCAGGGCTATGTTTGTAATGGAGTTTTAAATTTGGAGTTTTTAAATTTTTGGGTTCTTAACAAATTTTGGCTGTAAATGTAAGAATTTTAATAATTTTTAAATTTAATTATGATGTTTGTATTGTGTTTTTATTTGGCTGTGCACCGCCCCGAGTCCTTTGGGAGAGAGGCGGTATAGAAATAAAATTATCTATCTATCTATCTATCTATCTATCTATCTATCTATCTATCTATCTATCATCTAGATAGTCTACTAGTCTATAGTCTACTAGTTACTGTCCAACAGTTATTTTTTCTAAGTATCAGTTCCATTTTGACTTTTACCTATTATAAGTATAGATTGAAGAGCACTTGTGGATCAGAATACTACCGTATTTTCCGGTGTATAAGATGACTTTTTAACACATGAAAATCTTCTCAAAAGTCGGGGGTCGTTTTATATGCCGGGTGTTGTTCTCCTGTAACCAGGCAGACCAGCCCGAAAGGCTCTGATGAGCCTTAAATGGCTCTGACGAGCCAAGCTCTGACCATCCCAGCTGAGTTGCCTGCTAATCAGGCAACTCAGCTTGGATCGCCAGAGCCATGTAAAAGAAAAAAAGTTTTCCCCCTCCAGCTTGCTTACCTTAGCTGCTAGTCACAACGCTTGCCTTGCTTCGCTTGCCTGAATCCATTCCATCAGCAAGCAACTCCCTGCCTGTAATCAAGCAGGCAGGGAGTTGTGGACTTCAACTCCCAGAATTCCTCAGCCAGCAAAACAAAGCTGGCTGAGGAATTCTGGGAGTTGAAATCTACAAGTCTTAAAGTTGCTAA